CCAGACACGCAGGGAGACAGGCAGGGGGACAGGGAGAGAGACAGGGAGACAAGGAGACAGGGAGAGAGACAGGGAGACAGGGAGAGAGACAGGGAGATGGTGAGAGAGACAGGGAGAGAGACAGGGAGATGGTGAGAGAGACAGGGAGATGTTGAGAGAGACAGGGATATGGTGAGAGAGATAGGGAGAGACAGGGAGAGAGACAGGGAGATGGTGAGAGAGACAGGGAGAGAGACAGGGAGATGGTGAGAGAGACAGGGAGAGAGACAAAGAGACAGGGAGAGAGACAGGGAGATGGTGAGAGAGACACAGAGACAGGGAGAGAGACAGGGAGACAGGGAGAGAGACAGGGAGATGGTGAGAGAGACAGGGAGAGAGACAGGGAGATGGTGAGAGAGACAAAGAGACAGGGAGAGAGACAGGGAGAGAGACAGGGAGATGGTGAGAGAGACAGGGAGAGAGACAAAGAGACAGGGAGAGAGACAGGGAGAGAGACAGGGAGATGGTGAGAGAGACAGGGAGATGGTGAGAGAGACACAGAGACAGGGAGAGAGACAGGGAGAGAGACAGGGAGATGGTGAGAGAGACAGGGAGAGAGACAGCGAGATGGTGAGAGAGACAAAGAGACAGGGAGAGAGACAGGAAGAGAGAAGGGAGATGGTGAGAGAGACAAGGAGATGGTGAGAGAGACAGGGATATGGTGAGAGAGACAGGGAGACAGGGAGAGAGACAGGAAGAGAGACAGGGAGAGAGACAGGGAGACAGGGAGAGAGACAGGGAGAGAGACAGGGAGATGGTGAGAGAGACAGGGAGATGGTGAGAGAGACAGGGAGATGGTGAGAGAGACACAGAGACAGGGAGAGAGACAGGGAGACAGGGAGAAAGACAGAGAGAGAGACAGGGAGACAGGGAGAGAGACAGGGGGAGAGACAGGGATGATGAGAGTGAGTGAGAGACAGGGAGAGAGAGACAGGGAGATGGTGAGAGACAGGGAGAAACAGGGACAGGGAGAGAGACAGAGAGAGAGAGAGACAGGGAGATGGAGAGAGACAGAGACAGGGAGAGACAGGGAGATGGAGAGAGATGGAGAGAGAGACAGAGAGAGAGACACACAGAGATGATGAGAGTGAGTGAGAGAGAGAGAGAGACAGGGAGATGGTGAGACACAGGGAAATGGTGAGAGACGGAGAGGGAGACACACAGAGTGAGACAGAGAGCATGAGAGTGAGTGTGAGACAGAGTGAGTGAGTGTGTGAATGAGTGAGAGAGTGAGTGTGTGTGTGTCTGTGTGTATGTCTGTGTGTGTGTGTGTAGGTGTGTGTGTGTAGGTGTGTGTGTGTAGGTGTGTGTGTGAGTATGTGTGTGTTTGAGTCTCGTCCGGCAAAACAACCCCCTACCTCCTCGCGGTGCCGGACGGGCAACTCTGTCGTGGACAGTGCTGTGGGGGGAGTTCCAATTTTGATTGGCTCCTCCCCTCATGGCATATGTGTCCACCACAGGGGCTAAACGGGGGCTCTGGACGGGTGCGAGGGGCTGGTAACCCCTCCACCTTCAATTAATTACCACTAAAGCACGACTAAAATATCTAACTAATAAGCTTGTGCCGGAGGCCCCGGGGGGCCAGGCGTCTATGACGTCTCCTGGCCAAACCCCAATTGGCGGAGCCAGGAGATTGAATCTCAACCCTCGGGGCTCCTCCAGAAACAACGAAAAGCCACTACGGGTGGCCACGTGGAATGTTCGAACGCTCACTGCGGAGGAGAGGCTGCCACTCCTCTGTCGGGAGCTGGACCGGTACCGCCTGGATCTCTGTGGCATTCAGGAGGTCCGGTGGACCGGCTCTGGCTCCTGCCACCATGAGGGGTGGACAGTCCTCTACTCGGGGCAGCAGACTGCCAAACAACAGGGTGTGGCTCTTCTACTGAACAAAAGAATGAAGGGGGCGTGGGAGCGTGGCGGTGAGGTGTGGGAAGCTGTAAGCCCCAGGCTACTTTGGGCTCGCCTTCCCATCAACCGGAGGCGAGGATTGGTGGTCGTGGTTACTTATGCCCCCACCGAAGACGAACATCCGTGGAGGGATGCAGGCACTCACTCATTCACTCACTGTGAGCGTGTGAGTGTGTGAGTGAGTGAGTGAGCGTGCAAGTGAGTGTGTGAGTGAGTGGGTGAGTAAGTGGGTGAGTGAGTGAGTGTGTGAGTGAGTGGGTGAGTGGGTGAGTGAGTGAGTGTGTGAGTGAGTGTGTGAGTGAGTGGGTGAGTGGGTGAGTGTGTGAGTGAGTGGGTGTGAGTGAGTGTGAGTGAGTGAGTGTGTGAGTGAGTGAGTGTGTGAGTGACTGAGTGAGTGTGTGAGTGATTGAGCGTATGAGTGAGTGAGTGTGTGAGAGATTGAGTGATTGTGAGTGAGTGTGTGTCAGAGTAAGTGAGTGAGTGAGTGACTGAGTGAGTGAGCGTGTGAGTGAGTGAGTGACTGAGTGAGTGACTGAGTGAGTGACTGAGTGAGTGACTGTGTGAGTGAGTGAGTGACTGAGTGAGTGAGTGAGTGACTGAGTGAGTGAGTGAGTGAATGACTGAGTGTGTAAGTGAATGACTGAGTGAGTGAGTGACTGAGTGACTGAGTGACTGAGTGAGTGAGTGAGTCAGTGAATGACTGAGTGACTGAGTGAGTGAGTGACTGAGTGAGTGACTGAGTGAGTGAGTGTGAGACAGAGTGAGCAATCGCCAGGCGTGACCAGAGTGGTGAAGTATGGCTGTCCACCTGGTACTTGTTGGTGGAGTTGAAGGGGATTTCGGCCACTTTGTGATTCTTTTCCCGCATCTCCTTCACGGAGCCCATGCAAACCTCGATACACTTGAGGAGTGCAGACTCACTCGCATCACCAGCTACGTCTCGCTACGTAGACACAGAGACACAGTGAGACACAGTGAGACAGTGAGACAGAGAGAGACACAGAGAGACACAGAGGGACAGAGAGAGAGACACACAGAGAGACACAGAGACACACAGAGAGAGACACAAAGAGAGACACAGAGACCTCGATACACTTGAGGAGTGTAGACTTACTCGCATCACCAGCCACGTCTCGCTACGTAGAGACACACAGAGAGACACACAGAGACAGTGAGACAGAGAGAGACACAGTGAGACACACAGGGAGACACAAAGAGAGACACAGAGAGACACAGAGACCTCGATACACTTGAGGAGTGTAGACTCACTCGCATCTCCAGCCACGTCTCGCTACGTAGACACAGAGACACACAGTGAGACAGAGACACTGTGAGACAGAGACAGTGAGACACACAGAGACACATAGAGACACACAGAGAGACACAGAGAGACACAGAGACACAGAGACACGCAGAGACAGAGAGAGACACAGAGACACACAGAGAGAGAGACAGTGAGACAGAGACACACAGAGACACAGAGACACACAGAGAGAGACACAGAGACCTCGATACACTTGAGGAGTGCAGACTCAGTTGCATCACCAGCCACGTCTCGCTACGTAGACACACAGAGACACACAGAGAGACACACACAGAGACACATAGACACACACAGAGAGAGACACACACAGAGAGAGACAGAGAGATACAGAGAGACACAGAGAGAGACACACACAGAGACACAGAGAGAGACACACAGAGACACAGAGAGACACACAGAGAGACACAGAGAGAGAGAGACAGAGACACAGAGAGAGTGAGACAGAGAGACACAGAGAGAGACACACACAGAGACAAAGAGAGACACAGAGACACACACACACAGAGACACACACACACAGAGACACAGAGACACAGAGAGAGACACAGAGACACAAAGAGACACACACAGAGAGAGACAGAGAAAGACAGAGACAGACACACAGAGAGAGAGACACAGAGAGAGACACAGAGAAACACAGAGAGAGAGACAGAGAGACACTTAGAGACACAGAGAGACACTGAGACAGAGTGACACACACAGAGAGAGAGAGACACACAGAGAGACAGAGAGACACTTAGAGACACAGAGAGACACTGAGACAGAGAGACACACACAGAGAGAGACAGAGAGACCAAGAGACAGAGAGAGACAAAGAGATGGTGATGGTGATGACGGTGATGTTGATGACGATGATGATGGTGGTGATGATGGTGGTGATGTTGATGGTGATGATGATGGTGGTGATGATGATGATGGTGGTGATGTTGGTGATGATGATGGTGGTGATGTTGATGGTGGTGATGATGGTGGTGATGTTTATGGTGATGATGTTGATGGTGGTGGTGATGGTGATGATGGTGATGATGGTGATGATGGTGATGTTGATGTCGATGATGATGATGAAGATGGTGAAGATGATGATGATGTTGATGTCGATGATGATGATGATGATGGTGGTGATGATGCTAGTGATAATGGTGATGATGGTGATGTTGATGTCGATGATGATGATGGTGATGTTGATGATGATGGTGGTGATGATGATGATGATGGTGATGTTGATGGTGATGATGGTGATGGTGGTGATGTTGATGATGATGGTGAGGTTGATGTCTTGTTTATTCTACCTTGAGGATGGTGATGATGGTGATGTTGATGATGGTGATATTGTTGATGACGATGATGATGCTGGTGATGATGATGATGATGATGGTGGTGATGTTGATGTCGTATTTATTCTACCTTGATGACGATGATGATGGTGCTGATGACGATGATGATGCTAGTGATGATGTTGATGTCGTGTTCATTCTACCTTGATGACGATGATGATGCTAGTGATGATGATGATGTTGATGTCGTGTTCATTCTACCTTGATGACGATGATGATGATGATGACGATGATGATGCTAGTGATGATGATGATGATGTTGATGTCGTGTTCATTCTACCTTGAGGATGGGGAGTCCATCCTGGCCTCCCTTGAAGACGGCACGGTTACAGAGAGACGCAACTCGAGCTAGGGCTGTCCATGTAGCAGAACTCTTGTCGAAGGCCAGGCCTAGACACACACAGAGAGACACACAGTGAGACACACAGAGACTCACAGAGACTAAGACCCACAGAGACACATAGAGACTCACAGAGACACACACAGAGACACGGTTACAGAGAGACGCAACTCGAGCTAGGGCTGTCCATGTAGCAGAACTCTTGTCGAAGGCCAGGCCTAGACATACACACATAGACACAGAGACACAGACACACACAGAGACACACAGAGACACGGTTACAGAGAGACGCAACTCGAGCTAGGGCTGTCCATGTAGCAGAACTCTTGTCGAAGGCCAGGCCTAGACATAGACACATAGACACAGAGACACACAGACACACACAGAGACACACACAGAGATACGGTTACAGAGAGACGCAACTCGAGCGAGGGCTGTCCATGTAGCAGAACTCTTGTCGAAGGCCAGGCCTAGACATAGACACATAGACACAGAGACACAGACACACACAGAGACACACAGAGACACTCACAGAGACACAAACAGAGAGACACAGAGACACACAGAGACACACAGAGACACACAGAGACACAGAGACACACAGACACACACAGACACACACAGAGACACACAGAGACACGGTTACAGAGAGACGCAACTCGAGCTAGGGCTGTCCATGTAGCAGAACTCTTGTCGAAGGCCAGGCATAGACAGACACATAGACACAGAGACACAGACACACACAGAGACACACAGAGACACGGTTACAGAGAGACGCAACTCGAGCTAGGGCTGTCCATGTAGCAGAACTCTTGTCGAAGGCCAGGCCTAGACACACACAGAGAGACACACAGTGAGACACACAGAGACTCACAGAGACTAAGACCCACAAAGACACATAGAGACTCACAGAGACATACACAGAGACACACAGACACACGGTTACAGAGAGACGCAACTCGAGCTAGGGATGTCCATGTAGCAGAACTCTTGTCGAAGGCCGGGCCTAGAGACACAGAGAGACAGACACAGAGACACACAGAGACACACAGAGAGACAGAGACAGATAGAGACACACAGAGACACAGACACACACAGAGACACACAGAGACACGGTTACAGAGAGACGCAACTCGAGCTAGGGCTGTCCATGTAGCAGAACTCTTGTCGAAGGCCAGGCCTAGACACAGAGACACATAGACACACACAGAGACACACACAGACACACACAGAGACACAGAGACACACACACAGAGACACAGAGACACACAGAGACACAGACACACACAGACACACAGAGACACGGTTACAGAGAGACGCAACTCGAGCTAGGGCTGTCCATGTAGCAGAACTCTTGTCGAAGGCCAGGCCTAGACATAGACAGAGAGACACACAGTGAGACACACAGAGACTCACAGAGACTAAGACCCACAGAGACACATAGAGACTCACAGAGGCACACACAGAGACACAGGCACACAGAGACACACATAGACACACATAGACACACTCACAGAGACACAGAGACACACAGAGACTAAGACCCACAGAGACACATAGAGACTCACAGAGACACACACAGAGACACACAGACACACGGTTACAGAGAGACGCAACTCGAGCTAGGGCTGTCCATGTAGCAGAACTCTTGTCGAAGGCCAGGCCTAGAGACACAGAGAGACAGACACAGAAACACACAGAGACACACAGAGAGACAGAGACAGATAGAGACACACAGAGACACAGAGAGACACAGAGACACACAGAGACACACAGACACACACAGAGACACACAGAGACACAGAAACATACAGACACACAGAGACACTCACAGAGACACACAAAGACACACACACACAGACACAGAGACACACAGAGACACGGTTACAGAGAGACGCAACTCGAGCTAGGGCTGTCCATGTAGCAGAACTCTTGTCGAATGCCAGGCCTAGAGACACAGAGACACACACAGACACAGAGACACACAGAGACACAGACACACAGAGACACACAGAGACACAGAGAGACACAGAGACACACAGACACACACAGACACACACAGAGACACAGAGACACACAGACACACAGAGACACACAGAGACACACAGAGACACACACCACCACTACCACCATCACCACCACTACCACCACTACCACCACCACCACCACCACCACAACTACCACCACCACCACTACCACCACCACTACCACTATCACCACCACCACTACCACTATCACCATCACCACCACTACCACCACTACCACTACTACCACTACCACTATCACCACCACTACCACCACTACCACCACCACCACAGTACCTGACTGATCCTCTGTGGTATCTGCCTCGTGGATCTGGTTATCAAACCACTACCACCACCATCACCACCACCACTACCACTATCACCATCACTACCACCACCACTACTACCACTACCACCACCACCACTACCACCACCACTACCACCATCACTACCACCACCACCACCAGAACCACCACTACCACCACCACCACTACCACCACCACTACTAACACCACCACCACTTCCACCACC